ATTTCAAGGACCCTGGGTTAGGGGTACCGTTGAGGGGGGGTCTAATTATATTCTGAAAATGACTTAATACTTGCTTTGAAATCTGCTCCTTGTTATTAGTCAAACATTTATGATGAGCAAGGGTGACTTTTCCAAAATTTTGAAATGTGGGGGGCCATGGTCAGGGGTTCCTTTGGGGTTTGGCATTACTGATTATTGCTGAATATCACTGATAAGTTGAAATGCATTATTTTGTTCCCCTACTCTGCCTACGTTAACGCATCAGATGAAGTTACCAAAGTAAGCATGCTTAGTTCTGATGAGGAATGGTGCCTCTTTCAAAACTGCGAACGACATAGTCTGCATAAGACATATTAAACCAAATTCAATGGATGGAAAGTTGTTTCATGATGCTTAAGATCTAGACCTATAAGGCCCATGGGCCTCTTGTTTAGACAATAGAATAGCGCGTCCTGCCACCTTAAGAAATTGATACAATCAATAAGATGGTAATTGCAATAGCTACGTACGATATACATCGTCATCACTGTCATAAGACCCCAGGCTCCGCCAAAAAAAAAAAAAAACCTTTATGTAACCTGACAGCACTGATTATATAATGCTAAATACACAACACACACAGATTCCTTATACCTGTATTATAAGGCATCAGATTAAATTACCCACCGCTCCCTTTTACTCAAGGATGTAGAACAAAAAAAATATTAGAGGGCTTACTTTGATTAGAAATGGCATGTTAATGCACAATTAAAACTGAAATATGCAGCCCCATAAATAGAGTATATAAACAAGTATGTCTTCCATAATTATTTTTGTTGGTTATTTCATAATTTGAATGTATTACTATTTCGCCATTTCTTGTGTATATTGTATATTGTTTATATATATACTGTACACAGAACCTCAGGTACCATTTCATGTAATCGGTTTCAGTGAATAAATTGAATTTGAAGTTGTTTTCTGTCGTTTTCTGATATTACTGATTACGGAAAAAACCTTTGTTTTATGTATCCTATACAACCATCAATGATTTACTTGTATGTATATTTATAATGATTTATCAAAAACTTCTACCAGGCGAATAAAAGTAACTGAACAACATATTATGCTTCTTTTCAATTACGCGGTGGATTTTTTATCTTGTACAAACGCATTGGATTTTGTTCACATGCAATGTAGATTTTTCATTTACTTAAACATGTTAAATTGTGGATTTTTCATTTACTTGCGTTGTGGATTTATATTCATTTACTCAAACGATGTGGATTTTTTTTACTGATTACGTTGTGGAATTTTTCATTTTCTTACGCCATTGTTTATCTCGTTGACTTTCCCTGTGGATTTTTCATTTACTTACGCTTTGGATTTTTTTTTATTTACTTCATAAATACTTATTTACTTAGATTGTGGATTTCTGATTGACTTACGCTGTGGATTTTTCCGAAATCGCACCCTAACAGTGAAACCTTCGCCCGGCATAGCTATAAGGTGTTGAATCAGTGCCACGTTCTGTGAGGAAACAAATGTCTTGGAGGGCCTCTGGCCACATAGATTCTCTAATCGGTCGTCAATAGTTTTATCGTGATCCTCAGGGGAGGGGAAAAACTGCTGGTTCATTTCCCAGCCGTCCACAACCTAAAACATTATTTAATGCACATAGAAATATATTGTGTTGAAGGCTAACTATTTTGACGTTGATGATAAAAAAAAAATTACATGTATAAATAATTTTTCATAATTTTTTTCCAGTAATATTTATAACAAGATGTGTTTGTGAAACACTATGCGTCCGGCGGCAACAAAGTTACAAAAAACTAGTTTTAGCATATAGGTCACAGTAAAGGTCACAAGGTCATTGATATTAATCTTATTTGAAAGAACTTTAGTAGTGAAGTATGCATACCAAATATGAAGTCTATATTTCCTATGGTTCAAAATTTATGGCAAAAGTTCGAAAATAGCTATTTCTAGCATTAAGGTCACAGTCATGGTCACAAGGTCAATGACTTTGATGTCATTTGTATGAGCTTTATTAGTGAAGTATGCATACCAAATATGAAGTCTCTTCCTCCTATGCTTCAAAAGTTATGGCAAAAGTTTGAAAAAGCTATTTACAGCATGTACACAGTTGGTCACAGTCAAGGTCACAAGGTCATTGACCTTGTTGTCTTTTGAAAGAACTTTATTAGTGGAGTATGCATACCAAATATGAAGTCTCTATATTTCAAGGTTCAAAAGTTATGGCGAAGGATAAAGTTTTCAGCAGACAGAAAAACAGATGAACAGACAAACAGACAAACAGACAGGAAAAAAACAATATACGCCTCGGATAGATCGATCCGGGCGCATTAAAATTAATAAGTAAACATAGGTCGTAAAAGAATTACTCTCAAATGAGTCAGTTTCCTGTTCTGAAAATAAAAGAAAAGTAAATTATCCTGCCTTTAATTAAGAATTAAAAAAAAATTCAAAGCAAAGTGAAACTTTTGGCTTATCTGCTTAAAGTACATTAATATTATATCTAAAAAAATCGTGAGGCCAAATTCATTTTGCTTTAAGTATATATTCATATAATTACAATAGATATTTAAAATATAAATATCAATATTTCACTGTTCTGCTGTAGAACCTGCGAGCAATGATGGCGTTTATAAAAATTCGAGGACTCTCTCTTTCAATTATTTTTTTTATCACTTTGGACAATTTAAGCTTATATCAAAAAATTTAGTTGTTAGATTTAAGTGCATTTGCTCTTCAATGAATTGTAGTAATTGGAGCTTCGATTCTTTTTGTAGAAGACCTATAATCCCGATATTTTCCTGTTAAACCATGTCTAGCCCCTATTTTACCTCCACTCTAGGTTTGTCGGGAACATTGTGAATGTAAGATCCACATGAAAATGTAAGAAAGTTTATCTCTGTTTTCCTTAAAGATTTCACAAATGCTTGCTGTATATATTCCAAGTTAAAACTTAAAATGGTTGATGGCATTAGACATTCAGTATCATCATATTAATTATTTTATCAAATAAAAGTTGCCTGTTTTGGGAGTGTATATCATTTGAAATTAACACCCCGAGGAAAACCATTGTCAACCTCTGCTGACGTGGCGGTTGACAGTGGATTTCCTTCGGGTGTCAACTGTTAGCCTCAAAAACAGGCAGGATGATTATAATAGTATTCTTGTGTATATTGATTCAGTTTATTATATCTCTCTTGTTTAAGTAAGTTGATTTAGTATTCTATATCTGTGTATGTTAATTTAGTATTCTATGCTTGTGTATGTAATTTAGTATTCCGTACTTGTGTGTTTGTTAATTTAGTATTCTATACATGTTTGTGTTGAATTAAGTATTCTCTACTTGTGTATGTTAATTTAGTATTCTATATATGTTAATGTAAATTTAGTACTCTATACTAGTGTATATCAATTTAGTATTCTATACATTTGTGTGTTAATTTAGTAGTCTAGACATGTGCACATGTATGTTAATTTAGAATTCTTTACATGTGTATGTTAATTTAGTATTCTATACATGTTTGTGTTGAATTAAGTATTCTCTACTTGTGTATGTTAATTTAGTATTCTATCCATGTTAATGTAAATTTAGTACTCTATACTAGTGTATGTCAATTTAGTATTCTATACATTTGTGTGTTAATTTAGTAGTCTAGACATGTGCACTGTATGTTAATTTAGAATTCTTTACTTGTGTATGTTAATTTAGTATTCTATACTTGTATATGTTATTTTAGTATTCTATACATGTGTGTGTTAATTTAGTAGTCTAGACTTGTGTAAGTTGATTAAAAATGTTATACATGTGTATGTTAATTTAGTATTCTATACTTTTGTATGTTAATTTAGTGTTCTATACTTGTGTTTGTTAATTTGGTAATCAATATTTGTGTATGTTAATTTAGAAATCTATACTTGTGTATGTTAATTTAGATTTCTATACTTGTGTATATGTTAATTTAGTATTCTATACTTGTGTGTGTTAATTAAGTACTCTATACTTGTGTGTGTTAATTAATTATTCTATATATGTGCGTGTTAATTAAGTATTCCATTCTTATTTGTGTTAATTTAGTATTCTATGCTTGTGTATATTAATTTAGTGTTCTATACTTGTGTGTGTTAATTAAGATTTCTATACTTGTGAATGTTAATTTAGTATTCTATACTTGTGTGTAAATTTAGTATTAAATACTTGTGTGTGTAAATTTAGTATTCTGTACTTGTGTATATGTTTATTTATTATTCTAAACATGCGTTTGTTGATTCAGTATTCTATACTTGTGTATGTTAATTTAGTGTTCTATACTTGTGTACATGTTAATTTAGTATTCTATACATGTGTAATGTTAATTCAGTATTCTATACTTGTGTATGTTAATTTAGTATTCTATACTTGTGTATATGTTTATTTAGTATTTTATACATGTGTATGTTAATTTAGTATTCTATACATGTGTATGTTTATTTAGTATTCTTTACTGGTGTGTGTTTGTCAGACTCAATTTTAAGAACGTACCACTGCTAGTCCAGATTTACAGTTGATGTTGAAGCTGCTGAACTCTATCTCTATAAGACTTTCTGGAGGGGAGATAAAGTAGATTCCGCACACACTTGTAAGGCCATCAGACCTGTATGTAAAGTCCCCCTCTGTCGAGGCCATGGATATACAGTCTGAAAAAGTCCATGATTTCAAGTCTGACTCTTATCAACCAGCTTGTGAGTTAAATTGATTACTAGAAAACACTAGTATAATATTATATTCAGGCTAGAGGCTATCCAGGTTCAATGTTCTAGCTGTTAATTATTATGTGCTTCGATATTAAATATCATCCATTCACCGTATTCCAAAGTAAATAGTGCAGAACAGTAATATATGTAACAAAAAGATGTGCATTATACTAATGCTTTACTAAAACTAAATAAATGAAAATGTACAATAAATAAAAACCAGGTTGTTTGTAAAAGACAGATAATATAAAAGGTTCCACGGCACTTGACCCCTTAATGGTACGTCTTAGTTCTGTTCATGATTTGTATTGTTTCAATGGATTTTTTAAGTTTGGTTGTTGTTCGTTATCATCGTCCATATCTCTGGATTAATGTGGCATTCCTAATGTATGGACCAATAACTCTAGATATATCCATATTAATTTAAGAAACTCGCTATTAAATGACAACAGACTTCGAACAATGCAATTAATATTTTTTGCATTTCAGTCAAAGCACAAATACAAATTATGAATTTTTAAAAAATCTGCCTATAAAGTTTTGCTTAATCTCGCCCCTAATTTTATAGCGTTAACTTACTTTTTTAGTATGAACTGCAGATTACAAATAGGTTGAGAACTGTTGAAATGTTCTTTAACAGAAATAGGACGTGCTTACCAATGACTTCATTGGATCGTCGCGGCCTTTTGCCCAGTAAATCGGATTTATATACAACGGATCTCTGTAAAAGAAGAAATATTCTCTCTGGCATAAGTGAATCTATTACCCACAACAAAGAGACACAATCAGGTCCAATTCTCGGCAGATATGTCCGTTTTATTAGCTGTAACCCGATCCCACAATGATATTGTCGATAAAGGAATCAGCTCGGAGTTAAACAATTTACAAGCTTCCGTTATTCTGTGGATAATTCACTTTGTATGACGCTATGAATATAATAAAATAATCAAATCAATTGCTGTGAATAAGACTTCATTTTGACAAATCAGTCCAAGGATCATCGTGTAGATTAGCCATTGTGACTGGTTTCAAATTATCTGTAAACAATGCAAATCTATGAAGAAAGCACGGACCCCTGGAATCTACAGAGGTGGGATCAGGTGCCCTGTAACTTAAACTTACCAAACAAAATGGAGATTCAGATGATACTGATCCAAGGTCTTGGAAATGTTCATCTATAATTTGTCAAATTTAACACAAAGACAGAAGAAGCTAATGTTAGCAAAAATATGCCTCAGTTATCTTATTGCTTAAAAATGTAATTTGCTTCATACGACCAAAACCGCAATAGTAAAGTATATAAAATTATAACTTTTGAGAACGCAAATGAAGCGACTATATCATAGTTTCAGGATGATAAAATGATGTCTATTTTGGGTTTTTTTTCAATAGAGGAATCAAAAGCATCAACTTTATGCTATAACGAGAACTCAAATGCATCACTTTTACGCTAAACAACTGAGACTGCATATGTAGCATGACAATAGTACATACAACTGTAAATGTATCAGTACATGTACCACTTAAGACGTAGATGTGGTGTCTTTTTGTAAGAAATGTACTATAAAGAATACAAATTTGTAAACAGAGCGTAAACGAGGACCCCCGCAAATTTCAGAGGTGGGATCGGTTACCTAGGAGGAGTTGGCATGCCTTGTTGACCGATCCTACGTAATTATTTTTTATTGATCGGGTGGACGAAACATCCTCTAGTTGAATTCAGTATAAAACAAGGGCGAAAAATTGGTATGTTTTGTATCAGTCAAAATTTGACCCTGTGATAGGGTCGTATTTGTTTACAGGGTCATTACATGTATACCGACCAAAAAAATTACGAAATGTAAACCTTAAAGCGACACCCCGACACACAAACGGGAAAATTTACAAGCATGGGATTTTTGCATGACCCATGTATATTTTGTTCAATTCTTGAATGTATTTAACATGTTTAATCTGGGAAAATTACAGACATCGGAAACCTAAGAAAACCCCCACATTTATGGAAAAAAGTAATTTTTGTATGGTCCAGGACAAAAATGTTGATATGCTTCTTCCTCTTTATTGTATGCCTGCTCATAAAAGTTGAAGAAATTACCATGGTCTCAAGTACCAAAAAGTGAATGTCAGTTCACGTACATATATCAAAAAACTATCGTTAATTCATAATTCGTCGTCGCCATATCAAAAGTTGAGATGAGAGTTATAGCAAGTGTTTTCTTCTGTAGAAGTTTCTCAATACTGCTTTATATGAATATAAATCAAACCGGCTAATAAAGGAGCACAATTGATCCCAATGGGAAAACCAACAGTATATGTTGGTTGACCAGGCCTCGGAATCATTAAACAACCATAGACTTATGTCAAAATTTCAATCGTCCATAAAATGTTAATAACTTGTGAACAGAAACTTTCAACTTGTATTCAACAGCAGTTTATTGGTGCAAAGTGAAAAGTTTTTTTTATTTTTCCTACTTTTTCTTAGCAAAAACAAAGCCTTGTTTTTAATAAATTGTGAAGAATTGTTGCAAAAACTATAAAAATGTCGTATGTTTCAATGCTACAGACCACAACAAATTGTATACATGTACATGTTCTTTATTGTTAAAATTTGCATGTTGTAAACTTGTAGAATCTGTAACATTCAGGGTTTTTTTCGGTAGAGGTGTTGAGAAAATTCTTCTATATATTAAAAACCATTAAGAATTTAATTAAAACGAAAGCAGAATAAAAAAATTTTAAAAAGAGAAAAGCGGAGAAGAGTTAGGCGAAAAGAAGTAAAGAGAAAATTATGTTACATTAACCATCCTTGCCTTACGGCTTTAGTGCTGTTTATCCCGCAGTCATGACGGATATTATAATATTTAACACAATTAAAAGAAAATTTAAAACCAGTTTAACTTTTGGAACGTTAGCTTATTCCAGTTCAAAATCTGAAAAAAATTGATTTGTACGTACATGACATATTCCGTATATCTATAACCAATTTCGCATTGTTATATTTTTTTAAGCTCAAATACACCATATATGACTTTTTTTGGTCTAAATGACTCAAGAGTTACATAGAAATTTCAAAAGTATAATTGTCAGTTAACTCAGTTTATAGTTTTATGGCCAGATTTGAATGATGAATTTATACAACATGTTTATGTATTCGTTTTTTATCAATCAAGCATTTTATCCGCCTTTCCTTTTGTGGGAAATTATACCGATAAATAAGTTTCCAGCATTCGTTAAGAAATCGTTTCATGTTCTTATTAAATTTTCAAGATGTAGGTTCTTTCTATTTTCTCACGACAGTTTTTAGCTTCAGGTAATGTCATTGACTTAAAAAAATACAACAAAACACCGTTCCCGTGTGTACAAAATGTCAATTTCTTATTAATTAAGAAATAAGAGAGAACACACGGCCAAAAGCAAGATAGCGGGACGTCAATAAGTCACGTCATATGGCACACTTCTCCTCTGAAGAAATTATAAGAAGGGCTTAATGTTTTCTCTAAGAATAAGCAATACACTGGAAAAATAATTAGTTAAAGTCACTAAGAAGACTAGTAAATTTACTGTCCATACCATCATTACCTTAAAGGTAGTTTGACATGGTATTGGGTAAATTCATTAGATAAGATTAGTAAATCTAGAATTTAAAAGTAACTTCCACTAGGTATCTAAGTAACTATACGACCCTCACTCTATTTCTTACTATCTTAGCCAGTAAACAGAAAGATTACTAATCACTACAAAAGCTTCAAATACGTATATTAGGCACACTAGGTATTTCTTTCAGTTTACAAGTTCCAGGGATAGAGATAAAATGGACGAGTCTCCAGACCCACGAGTTCAGGCAAGGTCATTATGTAATCCTTGACATTGAAAATCAAAAATTGTTGTCACCAAGCATATGAAGTCACTTCTACTTCAGAAGATTATATAATTTTTCTCTTTTTTGATTACATAATGAATTGGCAAATTGTTTAAAAATATCTTTCACACATCAGTTTGCAAATTCCACCTTGTGAAAATAAAACATTTTTTGTTTAGTGGTATATCGCGGATTAAATATTCCTCACCCCTTAGATAATAATCTGGGTATTGACACGAATATCAATCCTTTTTCTTCATTAACGATAGATCTCTATATATGATCAGACAATAATACCAAATTTTATTTAAAAATATGATGGCCTTCCCGAGTTTCCTCTTTTTTTCTTTTTTTTTTTATTCTAGGGAATATTAGTCACGCTAACTTGTTCAAAAATCAACTTGATTTTTGCCAAATATCGCACACGCTTCAATTACAGTATTGCCTTGACATAAAAAAGTTTAATTCATAATTATTCATTCTATTTGCTTCAGATATATCATTAAAGTTTATGGTTGTTTAGAATTGCAAAGTAACTTTATTGTTCTGTAGTCTGGGAAGCAGAAAAGATTAAAGATATGTTCAACACCGCAGTTCCTCCAAAAGACTGTTATTATCCCTGATAACTTTCAAATTCAGTTTATCAATTTTTTTATTTACCAGGTAGTCAGAAACAGCCGAGAATCCTTCCTACTGTATATTCTATGAATTATAGATATTGCCTTTTACATGTTTTATCAATTTTCAATCTAAAGTTGAAAATAATGATATGACAAATAATCTGTCATGTATCGATTCCTATCATAGATTGAATATTAATAAAAGACAACATTATGAATATTGTTGTTGAAATTATTTTTGTTAGATCAAATTGTCACAAAGAATTCCAGAAGTAAAATAAATATCTCTGGATACGCTTTTTAAGTAGGCCAGTTTATAAGCAAATCTTCCCTGAAACGCATGAAATAGAGCTAAAATCAAATGACATAAAAAAATAAATTTCTCAGCCTCATGGAAAAATCTTCCTTTAAATATAGTGAAATCATTCTAAATTTGCTTTAAAAATATGGCAATTGGCACCTTTTCAACACCCTCCATGATCCACGACTATATATGCAATACGTGATGCACTTTTTATATTGGACTAACTAGTGAAAAGTTCAAAAAAAATTTAATGGAAAGAAGACCGTGTCTTTTATATCAAAATTCTTTGTAAATTTGAAAGCCTTTTATGAATGAAATTGACAAATTCTTTACATGTATCTTACCTTGTGAAAGGGAAATGGAACTGAAAAAACTAAAGACAGACGAATAATCCAGAGGAAGAAGGAAGCTGGTCTCATTGTACGAAAAAACAGACTGTTCAAATTAAGTCAATATTAAAGACAGAATTTATTGTAAAATTACAGTTCACAAGGGTAGATATTGTGCACTCAACGACTTTCTGTCTCTTTGATGTTATCAATAATTGCTAGATCTTATAAAGACGCGATAATCGGTCATCTTTACGAGATTTGACGAGAGAGCAGCTAGGATTTCAGAATGTAAGTGTGCTATCGACAATCCTCTGTCAATCACCGTATCACTCCTCCTTGTCCTCCACAGGGATTTATTTTAAGATTGTTTATATTCGTGTATAGCATTCGTGAAAGTTCAATTACGGATGTGGTTTTTCCCTCTTTCACACTTTGGTTAATATTCTTAAGATCATATTTGCCAGATCTATTGTTAATGAAGAAAAAGGATTGATATTCGTGTCAATACCCAGATTATTATCTAAGGGGTGAGGAATATTTATTCCGCGATATACCACTAACCAAAAAGAAAATTTTCATTTTCACAAGTTGGAATTTGCAAACTAATGTGTGAAAGATATATTTTTTATGTCATGTCAACATAACATGAATGAAAATTATGAATTTTTTTTTTGTTTTTATATATATATAGGACATTAACTTTGTTGTTTTGTGTCACATTAACTTGGGATGATTTTGTTAGTAGTTCAGATTTCACTTTGATTACATTTTGAAGTACCTTGTTCAACATTCGCTGCAATATTTTGCTTTAATAAAATAGCACACTCTGTAGCTCTAGAGCAAATCGAATCCCTTTTCTCAAGTATAACAAAAATATATATTTAAAAAAAAAATGGAGCGGGTCTCCATGTTTTGAAAGTTTATCTTCAAATTTTGCATAATAATTAAATTTTTTAGTAACAGAAATATGGTGCAAAGACCCACGATGTACGTGTAATAAAGTATATTAGAAATAGTCTTTGTGACACAACATTCACATCTATCCGAAAAAGACAAAAAAATTATTTCAAAATGTTGTATGTCACAAAAATCACCGAGTCCGTCTCACAGAAGCTCGTTTCTGATATAGTAAGTAAGTAAGAAATGTATTTATGTCCAATTTTGGGCCCAGAATATGGGCAGCAGAAAGGGCAAAAATTACAATAATGAGAAATCAAACGATTATTATAATTTCAACAACCATAAAAATCTTAACAAATGACATTCAATACACAATCAACAGACCTTTTTTGCAAAACAAGTGTAAATTAAAGCAAAACCAACGACCCCGTGTGTAATGAAGATATATCAATACAAAACGCGCGGTTATCTTTACAAAACAAACGTACCTGAAAACACGACAAACCATTTTCAACAAACACACCATATTCTAACATCAACAAAAACGCATGACAAACGGACATAAAAACTTAACGAACAGACGCCCATAACAGTCGCAGGGTGGCGCTGCATGATTGTCTGACGTCACGGCGTCAGACAGTACTAGATTTAACCAGGGCTTATTTATGCAGTCGTTCCATGAAATTGTTTAGATAGCTCGATGGTGGAAAATTCGATACATGCATAATCGCCAAAGACGCATGTAGTTGGTCCCAGGAGGAAATGAGCTTTTATTTACATTACTGAATGATCTTGTCTTTAGTATAATCTGTGCTTTCATCTTTGAACAGGTCCGCTTCAGTTCTCTATAAAAAATGCCTTTATATTATATAAATCTCACTGTTTTGTACTGTGTATCAAAGATTAAGTCATTTTACATGTTATGGTTAAATGGGTAATTGATTGCCTATTTTCAGTAAAATTATACCTTGACATTGAATTACCAGCACCTAAACATCAGGCACGTGGTCAGATATTTTTTCTTAGTTGCCCTGCTCCAAGTATTGTAAAAACTGATAATACGGTACCTCAGAAAAATGCAGTGAAAAAAGAAAAAAATGTCTTATTCAAGTTCGCTTTTAATTCTTTATTGTATAAATAGATTTGTATGTTGTTGAAGTGTTATACTTCACTCCTATCCAACGATTATATTTTGGACGATATTACATTGTAAATTAGTTTGCTTCTTCTCGTTTCTTTTCCCATGCAGATGCTTCGGTCCAGAATTTCATCAATCAATTACGTAACAGTGTTAAGTAGAGAATCATTGTACATCAAATGGTTTGAAAAGCAATGAAGCTTTCAAGAACAGCAGGGGAATGGTCAGCATGTGTAACGCTCTGCCAAGATTGTTATCGCCAGGGTTAGGGTTAGGGTTATACGCGCCCATTAAGTGATCAAAGATCTTCCCATTGATTTCATCATTTACAACCTTCATTTCATTCTGTTTGTTGAATAAAAAATCAGTTAGGTCATTTAATATATAAAACATTACTTGACAAATGCTGACCCGGGATCTTGAAACATCTTAAGCCTAAGTCGATCAAAATCTTTATTTTATAATAAAATGTAGTAAAAGTCTGCAGACCAGAAGGGTTAGGGTTTAGGGATATTTCTAACATTGTTTCACAGAGATGTTGTAATGTGCGAATGAAGAAATAAATTCCATAAGTAATAAATATTTTATCGGCGATTAAAAATTTTTACTTAAGTCTTAGTTTGTTTCATGATCCTGGAGCCAGAGCTTCAATTTAAAGTTCTTTGTACATTATTGTATACAATACTGATTACGCATGGTGTCTTGAAGAAATATTATCGAACGAAAGAATTATATAACATAATATATTATTTCTTTCCGCTTTATGAATTTAAGCAATCCACGTCAGACAAGCTTTTTAGGAAAGCTAATACTTGTTTCAGAAATAGGTTTCAAGTCAAGGGGTTTTGTTATACAGCAATGTTAGAGTTATATTGTGTGTATATGTCGGGAGAGGAGGGGGGTCGACCCTATTCCCAATGCTGTAAAAGCTGATATTTCCTTAATCTTTTTCTGTAGACGTCAAGGTATGTAATCCTTTACAGTTCCTGCCTACTTACCTTATGTAAAGTTTGATTGGAAAAATAATAACCAGAAGTCTCTGTCGAGACTGTAGCTCCACTGGTGTATACTTATAACAAAGGAAGAGAAAAGTAGCAGTTGGGACTTGAAACTTAAAAACAGCAATGAATAGAAAATAGTCCTTGATTAATTCACTTTCTGTGGCAATATTGCAATAAGACTACAATTATAGGAGTAACTTTAAATAAATCTTTAAAATATCTAAATTTTAGTTACCATGGCAACATCATTCATCAAAATAAATTAAGAAAACAATAAAGACTATAATGTATCTTAGCATAGTCTATCTGCATGCCACATTATATTATAATCAAACTAAAACTGTATTTGTAATAGCATTTTAAAATTATTTTTCAGAATTTTTTTTTCTTAGTTACCATGGCAACACCCTTCATTGAAATCATAAATTGATACACAGAATTATGTATCTTAGTGTAGTTTACTTGTGTACCAAGTTAAATTGAAATCAGACCGAAACTGTAGGAGGAGTAGCATTTTGAAATAATTTCACAGAAATTTCTATTTTTAGTAACCACGGCAACACCGTTCATCGAAATCAAAAACCGATGCACAGAATTATGTATCTTAGTATACATGTAGTCTACTTATGTGCCAAGTTATATTGAAATTAAATGAAAACTGTAGGAGAAGTAGAATTTTGAAAGCATTTCACAGAAGTTTCTAATTTTAGTTACCACGACAACACCGTTCATCGAAATCAAAAACCGAGGCATAGAATTGTGTATCTTAGTATAGTCTACTTGTGTGCCAAGTTTATATATTTAAATCAGACCAAAACTGTAGGAGGAGTAGCATTTTTAAAAAAAAATGTTTACAGACAAACAGACGGACAGCTAGACAGACGGACGGACGACGGACGCATTACTATTGCATAAGCTCTTCTGGTCTCTGACCAGTAGAGCTAAAAATGTTCCGTTTTATTTCTGTATTGTCTGTTTGTTTTGGCCTATACATTAGGATATGGTGTGATTGTGATTGCTTATGCCAACTTCCTTTCTGTACATTTCATGTGAATTATAATGACTACGCACTTTGTCATTAAAAAAATTGTTATTGATAACCAATATCTTCAGTTGCCATTCATGTGAGAACTCTATGACGTCATGCAATCTACCGTGAATTTGAAAAGCATTATACATTATCACCCACTTCTACTGAGATTTAAAGAACGACTTAAAAACTATATCTTGTCCAAATATCGAAGAACAATAATTTTTCTACGATATTAACACTGATTTGCTCAGATGACGTATCCATTTACAAGTTAATAGAGGGAACGGGTTTTTAATGTAGCAGAGTGAGAATCTGACCTTGAATTGTTGTCTATCGGGGAACTCTGTGACGCAGACCCGGCTGATGTTCCATTACTGAGTCAATACATTGCTCATCAATCAAAGGGTTAAGTTATTCAAATTATGCCTATAATAAAAACTTCATCTGGGATCAGAAATTTAAGATTAAATGCAGGTTCGGGGTAAAGAGAATGTCTAAACCGAAGGATGGATTTAAGGATAGACCTAAAGCAGATGGACCTATATATATCCCGAATCCACCCTTAGGTTGGATATTATGATAATTTTCCATATATAACATGATGAATTTTATTGATGAACTTTGAAGAGATATCGTAGGTAAATACATTATTCTAAGAATTCAGAAAAATGTTTGTGAGCATTTTCAATTATCCAACTCCTGATTTTTAGGACCTGAGGATCGGACTACCGTAATTTAATAATATATATAATAGAATGTATGTTGAAAACAGAATATTCCTTATAAAATGTCGCGCTTCTAATCTAATCTAAAATTAGCGAGATCAGATAACGAGAGGAAATCATGGATGACCTATACCGGACTTTGAGACCAGTGCGACAGAGGTATCGGAGTTACCGAATCGACCGAAGCCTCAACCGCGAGGCAGAGCAAGCCAGACATTCAGGGTGAAAAAGAATCACCTGACATATATAAATGATTTTAACTACAACATATTTCTGTGAAGGGGGAGGGAGACTTGTA